CGAAGTACAGTGTGCCTCTCGTCGCATCTGCACCTCTGATATGACCACCTGCCTTGTAGAGGTCTGTTTTTAGAGCAGTTAGGGCTGGCGTTCACCATGGGACAGGTCGAACCCTCGCCTTCCGGTGCTTGAGGGAGTGTTCGGCAGCATCATGAATGTTGTTGGTAATCTTGGACACCTTATAGTCCAGATTGTCGACTACATTCATCTCTGCCGCTTCTCATTCCTCATCTGCAATCACTTCCTCCAGGCAGTCATTTATTTTAGTGACGAAACCCTTATCAGTATCATCCTTTGGGAACATTCTGGCTCGTCTACCAGGCCGATCGCTGTCGCAATGTGGTGGGAACTCGTATCAGATCTGAGAGTCCAATCAGCAATATACCACTTAACCGCAGGCACGGCGATCGTGACGTCAATCCAATTCTGCCCTATGCCTCAAGGTTAGGATTAATTCACTATTGCAGACCTGGGCCTCCTCTCTTCACTGTTCAGGGCAAGGTCCTCTTGACGTGAGCCCAAACCCCGTAACTCCCCACGTTCCCACGGCAGGTAGGTTCCTGGACCATCATGATTTCGTAGCGTTGTGCCATAGCCCGAAGCTCGTCAGCCACAATATGCCGGCGGCCCATATTCAGCTGGAGGATGTTGAGTCTAATCATCGTGAGTTTTCTTCACTAATTTTCGGGATCTCTTGATGTGCACCGGGCCTTCTCGACTTCCTGCCTGATGCTTAGCCTCACTTGTTTGAACGCCTTCCCTCACGCAGTTAACGCATGTAGGTGAGGTCTTATTTCCTTTTGCAAGGACAGTTTTTAGAAATATGCCCACTTGCCGCACACCCCTTAAATACTGTGCTATTTGCCTCACAAGTAGCTTTTGTGTGTCTGTCTATATGTCTGACGAGTTCTCCGCATGCTCTAGATTACCAAATACCACCGTTACCTCGTCTCTTAGACATATTTACTTTTTGTTAGGAAATTGGTGTTTTCTTTTGATAAAAATGTGACTCTGTGTTAACTAAACAGCTGGACCATAATATATACTAATGCCACAGTGAGTACTGTTGTTATTTATTGTGTACAGTTGTGCGAAGTGAAGCTGGTGTATAGAGGACTGTCCTTTTCTCGCAGCCATAAGTACCTAGACCAACGTAGTCAGTTGGCCTGGAGCCTTCACTTGGGAAGGGAGGTCCTATAGCGACTCTGATACAAATTCAAGGTCACGCAGCGTGTTTTAATCTTATTTCATTTTTTCGTTAATTTTTTTTCCTTCCCTCACGTTCTTCTGACATGTTATGAGATTTTATCACCAACTCATGTTTTCTATGGGTGCAACAACGAGGTCTCGCTCTGTCGGATCTACACCACGTTCATCACCTGCGAAAAAAAAAACTCTGCGATCGAATAGAATGACGCCATCTGCATCTCCACCTACAACAACAGATAATATTGAACCTCAAGCGGGTACATCTCAGGATATGAAGGAAGAACCTCCCTTTTTCACCCCAAATCCTCACGAGGTACTTCAAAATGAAAAAGAGGTAATGGAATCTGCACCCATTCCCAGAGACCCCAGACCCCCTCCAATTTTAGTTAAAAATCTAAAAAAATTCGCTTTACTAAGCACCCAGTTAAACAAAATCACAGTTCCTGGTAGCTACTCCTGCTTAAGCCGCACTAACGATATTAAAAAAATCCCCTGGCACAGCTGATGCATACCGCCAAATAATTTAATATTTATCATACACAAAGGCAGATTTTCATACCTACCAATTGAGGTAAGAGCGTTCCCTGAGGTTAGTAATCCGAAATTTACATCCCTCTACTCCAGTCGAGGTGATCCAAGAAGAATTGACGGCCCTAGGTTTTAAAGTCCTACAGGTCACCAATGTCACTGAAGGACGACAGAGACGTTTCTGAAGCAAATAATAGAAAGATAGCATTACCTCTATTTTTCATCGATTTAGAACTCTCAGCAGGAGTCGAAAAAATATATGAAATCAACAGATTATATTATACAAGTGTCAAGGTTGAAAAACCATACACTAAAAGAGAAATCGTCCAGTGCCACAATTGCCAGGCCTATGGACACACCAAAACATACTGCCACCACATCCTATGATGCGTGAAATGCGGAAAATCACATAAGAGTAGTGAGTGCAAGAAATTGAAAACTACTCCTCCAGTATGTGCTTTATGCCTGGAAGGACATCCTGCTAACTACTAGGGCTGCCAACTGTATAAAAACATCAAAAATAAATTTCGTAAACCCCGGAACCCAGAAGAAACTTCTAAACCCAGAAGAGGGCCAGCTAAAATAGTAGACTCTAGAGTATCTTATTCTCAGTTACTAGGGGGTAGAGTCCCAACTGATAAATGTGAGGGCCTGCCGTAACAGGAACCCCAATCCCAACTCCAACACCCTATCTTCTAATGTACAAAACTCTCAACAACCTCATCAACATCACATTCCTTAAATTCCTCCTCCATCACAAGCCTCTGATCTTACCAGTTTGTTGGCATCTTTTCTCACCGAATTCAAATCCCTCGTCACTCTCCTTACAAATCTAGTATCTCACCTCATCCCTCCTTTAAAAAATCCTTAAATGAAATCCATCAAACCCTTATCCATTCTCCTTTGGAATGCGAATGCTGTTAGAAACCACACTGACGAACTAACAGCTTTATTGCTAGATAAGAACGTCGATGTAGCCCTTATTACGGAAACTCGACTGACCAAAAAACAAATTTTAAATATACCTCAGTACTCAACATATCGTACTGACCATCCAGACGATAGAGTACATGTCGGCACTGCAGTCATTCTACACCAATCCCTCTCTCATCACTTACTCCCATTACCTACTCACGATTTCCTACAATCCACTGCTATCATAATCAAAACCTTCTCGTTTCCTATTGCCCTAGCATCAACGTATTGCCCTACCAACCAATCCATCTCTAATATCCAATTTAGTTCCTTCCTCAATTCCGTAGGACACTATTTCATCCTGGGTGCAGACTTAAACGCAAAGCATCAGCAATGGGGTTCAAGAACTACGAATTCTCGAGGTCGAACACTGCTGTCTGCACTCAATTCCCAACATTTTAATTTCGCTTCCCCGAACTCACCTACCTACTGGCCCACTGATCCTAACCGTAATCCCGATATCCTTGATTCCTTCATTCATAGTGGTTTTGGTCCCCGCAACTATTCCTTTGATTGATGAACTTTCCTCAGACTTCAGTCCATTAATATTCCAAGTATCACTAGCTCCTATTCCTAAACCCTCCCCACCGCCCTTCATCAGAGGTCCAGTCAACTGGAAACTCTTCCATCAAATCCTTTCCGATCAAATTGACCTCAGAATAACCCTGAAAACCCCAGAATATCTTGATAATGCCGTACACTCCTTTACCATCACCATTCAACAAGCAGTATGGACTGCTTCCTCTCCTAATCATTCCCCTAGAATTCCAAAGAAAAATAATTTACCTCATCAAATCCTTGATCTAATCCATACCAAACGCCGTGCCAGATTGTTATGGCAACGTACCAGACATCCCACCGACCGCAGCTCCTATAATTATCTCTGTAAACAACTAAAGCAAGAATTATCCTACTTCAAATCCCAATCCTTTAACTCCTTCCTTACCTCTCTCACTGCTCACGACAATTCCCTCTGCAATATCACCAAAAAAAATCCTAAAAACCCATAATATTTCCCATCCCCTCCGTCGAGGTGATGGCTCCTGGGTGGCGTCTGATGAAGACAAAGCTGAGGAATTCGCCAAACACCTTTCCAGTACATTTATTCCTTATCCTGAAACCAATCCGACACACTCTTCAAAAGTAGAAGAATTCCTTTCTTTACCACCAAAAGCAGTTCATCCATCTGAGGTGAAATATCATTTACAAAACTATCTTCCCGCAAATCTCCTGGGTACGACCTTCTAACCCCACAGATCCTTCATCAACTACCACCCAAAGTAATCATGTTCCTCACATACATATACAACTGCATCCTAAGAACTACCCATTTTCCTCTCTTATGGAAACATTCCACCATCGTCCAAAGAAGCCTACTCCCAATCCTTTAAAATTTTTTTGAAAAAATCCTACTGAAAAGAATCCCAAAACCTTTCTACCCACCAATTCGGATTTCGCTTCCAACATTCCACAGTCCAACAAGGACTCCGACTTGTTGACCACATATCCTCAGCCCTAGAAAGCAAAGAGTATTGTTCGGGAGCATTAATGGACATCGCGCAAGCTTTTGACCGGGTATGGCACGCAGGACTGCTCTTCAAGCTTAAATCCCATCTAGCCCATTCCTTATATCTTATCCTCCGATCCTACGTCTCTGACCGCTCATTTCAAGTTCGCTGTGGTACAGAATCCTCCAACTGCCATTCAACAAGGCGGGAGTTCCTCAAGGCAGCGTCTTGGGTCCCGTCCTCTACATTCTGTTCACCGCTGATATTCCTACTCATCCCGAAACACTCCTGGCAACATTCGCTGATGACACAGCCATCTTATCTTCCAATCCAGATCCTGAAACAGCATCCTTAAACCTACAAAGTCACCTCTCTCTTATTGAACACTGGTGTAATAAGTGGCGAATCCAAGTAAATGAATCCAAATCCAAACATATCACTTTTACCCTTCGACGCAATTCCTGTCCACCAGTCTACTTCAACTCCATACCACTTCCTCTATCCGACACAGTCCGGTATCTTGGCTTTATTCTAGACAAAAGACTAACATGGAACCCACACACCAGACTTAAAAGACAACAACTTAACAGACGATGCGGACAACTATATAGACTATTGAATAGAAAATCTCAACTTACAGTCGACAACAAACTACTAATCTACAAGACAATCCTGAAACCTATTTGGACCTACGGAATAGAACTGTGGGGGACAGCAAAACTTTCTAGCATCAAACGCATTCAATCCTTTCAGTGTAAAATCCTCCGATCAATAGTCGATGCTCCCTTCTATGTATCCAACAAAACTCCATACTGACCTTCATATCCTATTTGTTCTTGACCTTATCCCAGACAAATTTTCTAAATTTCACCAGAACCTCACTCATCATCCAAATCCTGTAGCACTATCCCTATCTAGCTCCAGCCATCCTTACAATCCTCCCCGGAGGTTAAAACGGCAGTGGCCCCGCGACCTTCTGTAAATGTTTGTATATTTGAGTTCTGGCAATGGCCAGATTCTCCACTCAAGACATTAGCGTCTGTTGCTGTAGTGCCCTCCATCAGTTTCCACTGGTTTCAAATAACAGTGATGCGGCAGAAAGAGAAGCACTGGGATCCCCTGGAGTCCTGCCTTGGCTTCCACATCGGGGTATAAGGCATGACTCAGTGTCTCCTGGGTGAATGTAAATATTGTACATAGGTGTGAATGTGATTTATTTACTTTAATTTCATTTAGCTTTTATTTCATTTTTTTTTTTTTAGCACAGGCATATCAACTTATTTTATTTTTTTATATTTCTTTTTCTTTATTAATGAAATATTAATTGTATTTATTTTGTATTTTTTTTTTTTAAGTTTTGTATCTTTATTTTGTATATTTGTATTTAAATTTTATTTTTTATTTATTGTTTATTCTGTACATATTGTGTGAATGAATCATGTATCCTTAATATTAATGCCCTTTAATGTGTCAGAATGTATTAATATTCAATAAAGAAAGTATTCTCAACCTCTATATGCCTGACACCTTAGACAGGGAGGAGCAGCGGGGTAATCTAAAATTGTCAGTGACCATCAACCTCCTGTAATTATCTCCTCCTTGAGTTGATTATACCTCACTATTGGATGTACTTCTAACACCCAATTATTGATAATTTTATTTCTCACCATTGATGAGAAAAATGGATTTATATTACCTACTTTGTTCTCAGAAATATAATTTTGCATCCAACTTTTCCAAAGTACTCTTTCTAGATTTTCCGCAGTCCACGAAAGGAGAACTCCCTCTACCTCCACTTTTGGTTATCTTTTTAATGCTAGTTTTGCCTCTATTCCAACTTCTTTTAGTTTTTTTCCACTCAATTATTTTTTTCGCATGGGCATCGTCATCTACACAAACTAAAACTGAGCCAGCTTTGGTCGCTCGAACATCACTCGCCTTGACTCCTAGTTCAGTTGGAGAAGGCAGGTTGTTGATGATGTCAACTGCACTTTTTCCTTAAGAAGCGATGGTTACATAAGTTGGTCTTGCATTATACATCGGTTTTAATGGCCTTTTGACAATATCGGCCATCGTAGCCTTATTTGTAGACATTTTCTTGGTCAAACTTTCCTCTGCTATAGGTTTAGAGGCCTCAACCTCTTTGGCCACTTGTGGAAGAGCCTTTTTCCTTGTTTGCTTTTTCTTTACTTACTGGAAAGTTTCATTCTCCGTGGTCTCAATTAAGGCATCGAACAATTGCAGTTGTTCTCTTACGCATGGAAGCTCCCGAGGTGTCTGAGGTTCTGAAAGTGGTCTTTGTATGGTTTTACTTTCCGTCTTGATTCCCTTGATAACCATAGCTACTGCTTTTTCCACTTACGCATTTACTAAGATATAATAGATTTCAGAGGATGCTAATTTGCCCTAACCACGCGTTGTACTAAAAAGGTTTTTTCGTGGTTTTTATCATGTATTGTCTCCATCATATCTAATAATTATCGAATTTTTGTAATAACTAATAACTGTCTGTTGCGTACATGTAGACCCTGATGTTTTCTTTGATTCTACGAGCATCTTGCAGAAGACTATCGTCTACACATTCCTTATCTGATTCTTCTCGGGCGTCAGGAGATCTCTTCCTTTGCCTCTTTGCTGAAGGTCTTGGGCACCTTATAGCCTGTTCTTCCACCGTTCCCGCTGATGCAATGTCATTAGCCATCTCACGCAACCCAAAATAGCTACTTACTGTTTCACCAAAGTAATAGTCTCTAAACGTTTCCTTTTAGTTAGATAAAACCTTCGTGGAAACTACAAGGTTAATCTTAACCTCCACTCTTCACTCAACAGATTTATAAAATTAACTAAATCAACATAAAATAAAACTAAACCATGTTCAAAAAACTATAAAACACTAAAATAACACAAACAGTAAACAACGATACAACAGAATAAACTTGAAAAATACAAAACACTGAGAAGCACAACAAACCTTTATCATAGGTAGATAACCTTTTGGATAGGACAGATCAGTTCTGTGTTCCAGGCTTCTGGTATCCGTTCTTCCTTCCATATTTTCTGGATTAGTTCTAATAGCTTTGCTCTGAGGTGTTCTCCCCCATCCTTGAATAATTCTGATGGTAGGTTGTCCATCCCGGGAGCCTTTCTTCTTTTAAGCCTAGCGATAGCTATTTCCAAATCCATAATATTTAAAAACGCAGAGCAAGATCGAAGTGGTACAGAACCATATATTCTACTGATAAAACTCACAATAACAAATTGAATAACAAACTAATTTACTTGACGTAATGATATAGTCCAAGCAATTACGTCTTCCCTGATGAATATTTTAATAAGGGATTCACCAATTCGTGGAGATGGGTATACAAAAGAGGGGCCATTGAATTCGCGGTTTCGAACTCTTTCGAGAAGGATTGTAACTCTTCCGCAATGGCTTTGAAAAACACAATCTTTGGATTGATAAGTTCATCACGTAACATCTCTTTTACACCATTGTAACTTTTAGAATTTGGTTGTTTTATTTGAAGCTGTAACAGTTTCAACATATTTTTTATGTGGAATAAAATAATTAATGCTCTCTCAGCAACCAGGATGTTTTCCAGCCAGCGTACTGCACAGAATTTTAATGAAAATAAATTATGTCCTGTTATTTGAGTGAAATATCCACGGCGCGCTAGGACATCTGTGAACAAATTATAAATCCCTCGCAAACATTCTACAATACCTATGTGGAATGGTGCACAGCATTTTTGAATGCATAATGAACTGTATGTAGACCACAGGAACCCATGTCCAATAATTGTGGATCATCTCTATCAACTTCTCTTTTATTTTTCAGCAGTTTTAATCATTTAAAATTCACGTTAGGGTCATCCATCGAAGCTTGTAGACTTTTTTTGGGGTCCATACTAGCTAAAGCCCCACACATGATTATTTTACACACACAAGGCATCTTTAATATCTTCAGCGGTCGAGTGTGTGAAAAACACTGCAAAAATAGCGCGTAGAAACTTCTTCCTTTTCGGAATTCCAAAATTTTACAAATATTTTCATCTGCTGTTTTTGAGATATTTTGTTCGGAGATTCAACAACTCAAACCCAATGACAAACTCGCTGCAAATCTTCAATGTTTTTTTGCACCTTGCATTGAAAGTAATTCCCAAGGCCGTATACAATTAAATAAGCTTTGTTTGACTTGTGAAAATTGAGACCATCGGCCATTTCACTATCCGGAAACATAATTTTTAATAATTCACAGCTAGTAGCTGCAGCTCGCAATGAATGATCCAAAATTACAGTCTGTAAGCACTATAAAATCTCTGCCTTGGTCTGGTATATGTTATTTAAACTTGAAGATTGAGCAGTTACTGACGGTTTTAAATGTTCAACAAAGATTCTGGTCAAAGTTGAATATGTTGAGGGTACAGCCGATGCCTCTACAGGTTGTACTGCTGTTGTCTGATTGACCAATTCAGAATTTAGAGATTTGGTTTCAATGGTTAAAAATATTGTAATGGAGTTGAAGTCTGAGTATCCTTTAAATTGTCTATGTGTTTTTTTTCCAGTACTATGGGTAGTGAGAGCTTGTTTTCCCATACTTGAAAGGTAAATCATAACGTTGCATACTTTACATCGTGCTGAATAAATACTTTTATTGAGATCGTATTGCAGGTGACCAAGATTCTTGGAATTTTGATTTCCCACGATGTCTGCTAGTGTCACTTTTTTATTTTAATAAGTAGGCGTGCGAGAACTCGTCGCAACGTCCAATTCGTAATCTGCAGAGTGTATAAAATGTTACACTCCTTGTATTTATCCAAGATTTCTAAAAATAGTTTTTGTGATTCAACTGAAAGTGCCATATCCTTTATACATCTGGCGATTGGGGTATCTATGATTAGTGAGGTATGGGGCCATCAGGGGATTATTACATCCGGCACATCCTGAACATTTTCTATTTTTATTTCCGGAAAGATACCGAAAATGTCTTCTACGAAGTTTTTCTGCCTCCTGAAATAATGGTCGTCTTAACGTCCATATATAAGAGCTTAAATAGACAACCATTTGAAAACCTCACGTATCCACTTTATCAATCTAATATATGTTTTATTAGTAAATAATCAAAATCAAAACATTTATTATTGATGTATACAATTTAGACGAACAGACTATAAAAAGCCCAATGAAATTTCTAAATAAAAAATAGACTATAGATAATTAATAAAACTTAATCTAAGGAGTAATCTAAAATTACACTACACCCCTATTATCCGTTTCCTCATTACAGAATAATATCTTGTTTAGTATGTGTTTTGGATCGGTCTTTATTTTTAGTCCATACTTCATTGTCGTTAGCAACCTTCTGAAATATAAAGGAGGTTCTCCAGCTTCTGCACATAGGCTTTCTATATGAGAGATTGATAACACCCAGTACAAATTCTTAAGAAAGAGTTGTCTACCACATCCAACATCCTTAAAGTTTAGTTTGAAACAGAGCCGTAAATGCTTGAACCAAAGTCTAGTTTAATTCTGATAGTTGCATTTACTCAATAGACTTTTTCTATCCGCTCTATCCAGATTGTGTGAGATAGACATTTGAGCAGAGCAACCCTTTTGAAGGGCCCTTCTTTGAGTAGTTTAATATGCGTTGTCCATCTAACTGGACGATCTAACTGCACTCCCAAATACTTAAGCCTGCCAAAGAATGGAAATTCAGCACCACCCATCCATATTTTTGGGTTTGGTGTACAACTCCTTAGTCTGCAAAAGTGCATTGCTCTGGTTTTGGTAGCAGATAGACCAAAGCCGGTTTCTATTGACCATGTTTCCATGCCATTTAGTGCTTCATGCACTTTCTAATTTAAAAATCAGTCATAAGTCATAAAGTCAGCATAAAGAATAGTTCTTCCAGGCTTGACAGAGACAGCCGCTATGTCTTGCTGTGTATTTATCCCACGCCTAGTGGGATCCTTGAGGAGTGCCGTTCTTCATAGTGTAAACAGATGATTCTGAAGTTCCAGCCTTAACACTAAATTGTCTATTTTTTAGAAAGTAAGTTATGTTATTAAATAATTTTCCTTTATGTTCCACCTCCATAGAATATTTATTTATGCCTCCCTTCCTTGCCTTTCGGCTACACGGGATTACACGGGAGCCCTTCCTGCTATTAAACCATAAATTAATTTTCAATTTTGTTTTGTTTTGTTTTTTCAAATATCTTCTGTTTTCATTATTTTCACCATATTAGCCTAGCGGTCTTCCATTAGCAGGTCCTCTTCTTCCCAGATTAAAGGGGGACGGCCCCAGAGCAGCTTTCCACCCGTGCACAAAATCTTTGTAATACGGGTAGTTCTGCTGCGTCACTAACTCGGGAAATTCATCCTCCGTGAGGCCATAGACTCCAATTTTTCTTATCATTTCGGCCCTTAGTCCATCAAAGGCGGTGCAGTTGACGATAATATGCTCAGCCGTCTCCGGTACTCCGCAAATGGGGCATAGGGGATCTATGTCTTTTCCAAAACTATGTAGGGGAAACCCCCATGCCCAGTAAGGAATTGAGATACCCAGTAGTCCGGGAGAACCCACTTAGCTTTCAAGCGACTTCGGACGGTGGGGAAATATTTTCTTAAAGTTGCTCCCGGATAATCGTCTTCCATTTTCTTGGGTCTTCTGCAATCCTCGCCCGGATATTCTCCGGAAGACCTGCTAAGCCTTCTCAACTTAAATATTAGCGAGTCTTCTCGCAGGAGAAGGTCGAGAGGTACCCCTCCTGCTAAGATCTGCACCGCCTCGTGAGACACACTTCGGTATGATTTTGTGACTCGCAACAGAGCCGTACGTTGAATTGTCGCCAATCTGCGTTTCTGACGGTGTGAGAGATTCTGAGACCACGCAGGAGAGACGTAACTCAGAATACCCAATATCATTCCATCGTAAATGATCCTCGTCGCTGGGTATCTGAAGCCCCAAAATGCACCCCCTAGGCGACTAAGTCCATTCAAGGCTAGGGCCACCCTATTTCCTAAGTAGTCCAAATGAGGGGTCATAATCAATCCTCTTCCAAACCTTATGCCAAGGTAGGTGACCACCTCACTTGGACGTACTCTCGTTCCCTGTATACATAGATTGATAGGGTGTCCGTCTTTCCCTTCAGCAGGATCACCTGGGTCTTTGATGCGGCCATTCGTAACACCATTGCCCGACCAGATTGGCGCACCGCTCTGCTTGTAGCTTTATTCCGGCTCTGCTGTTTGATGCAACTACTGCCGCCAAGTCATCGACGTAAGCAGTAGCAGGGAACCGCTCATCTTCAAGCACACCCAGCAACTCATCAAATACTAGCTTCCATAGAGTCGAACCAAGGACTGATCCCTGAGTGCATCCCCTCTCTTTGGAAGCTTCAGTTTCATAAGAGCTACCTCTGATCTTAACAAATCTGTCCTGGAGATAGCTACTTATGAGGGCGTATAGATTGTTGGGGGCATCGTACTTCTGTAGCTGCTGAAGTGCTCGCGGCCACCATACAATATCGAAGGCGGAGGATATGTCAAAAAGCAGCAACATGACATACCGCTCAGCCTTCTGTTCAACGTCCGCTTGTACTCGAAGCAGGGCATCAGCGGTTCCCTTTCCCTTGGTACTACCGTATTGCCGCGGATAGCTAGCCATTGCGAGAACTGGTCGTAGGCTGGTTAAGATGAG